TGTTCTTAAATGACACAAACACTTCCAGATATTTTCAGTTGATGTATTTTTCAATCTTGTCAGATATCAGAAGGTAAGCAAGTACCGTTTAGTACTTGGATGGGAGACCACCAAGGAAGTCCAGGGTTGTGACATAGAGGCAAGCAATTGCAAACCACCCCTGAACCTTGAAAATCCTACGGGGTTGCCATAATTAAGCTGCAGCTTGTTGGCACTTTCCATCACCACATAAATTGTAATACTCTGAGGATAACCAAGGTATTATTTCTCTACCCATCCTGTCCTTTTCTCCTGTCTTTTTCATCATGAGCTCACAAATGTTGACTTAATTTACCAGCCAACCCTCTGCTCATACTCCCGACGAATTCCTGACCCTTCCTCAAGTCCTGCGTCACATGTAGAAAACTTGTCAAAAGGAGGGATGTTTGACCTTGTGCAGACTTGGCAGAAGGCACTGTACTGCCCCATGCCAGAGTGCAGCGTGAAAGATTGCCCCTCCTTTCATACTCCATGTTCTCCATAACTGGGAAGGAAGGGAGGCTTCCTGAAAGTAGGGCTTTTGCTGAAAGTACATGGAGATTGTCCAGACCAGCTATGCTGGCCTCTGGCATGCAGTCAACTGCATTTTTGAAACCCTGTTTTTCACAACTTCCTCCTTCCGCTGTTTAGGATTGGCCTCCAAGGGTTTTGATTGTATTGATAAAAGAGTTCAAGGGATTGCAAAGCTATTGACGCTTTTCGGGCTCTGTTCCACTGTACCCATGTCATAACATCTGATGCAGCTGCATGCATGGAGAATTCAAACAGAACCTTTTCCCTGGAGGATTAATCAGTGAAGACAAACTTTAATAGGAAGGGCTGTAAGGGCATATTTGTACATTTTCAAAGGCTTGGTTCTAGGATGTAGTTGTGACAGGGATTGCAAAATTGTTTAAGATCCTGTATCCTCTGAAGTGGTAGCATTGGTTTGGTGTCTTACATTTTTCCATTGTCAGAAAGGCACCTTAACAGTTCAGTCCTACGCAAAGTTATGTACACTGTTCTAACACCATGAAGTCCGTGCCCTGTATGTGAGGTTTTAGTCACATGCAACTTTATTTGAACTTAGTCATAAAGCAGATGATAAAACAATAAAAATGACATAATTGGATGAAAGCTTGATACATATCTTTGTTTACCTGTAGGGTGCAGATGGGGCAAAAGGTGCAAAGGGCGAAAGTGGCCACAAAGGTGAAAAAGGTGTCCCTGGGCCACAGGTGAGTAGCCTGAGCTCTTTTTATAAGCTGCATCCTCCATCAGCCTCCTTGCTTCATCAGTTCAATGCCTTTAGCAGCAGTAGTCCATATAATAAGTTGCCTGTCTCTCTAGGGTCCTGCTGGTCCCCATGGACTTATTGGTTTACCAGGCAACAAAGGAGAGAAGGTAAGAACTAAATAAAAGACAAATTGACAGGCATGTTTATCAGGAACAAGATAGTGCTCCACGACTGTACCTACCCATTAAGGCAGTTAATATAGTACCTACTATTTGAAAGCACAGCATTTTGCTAAGAGAGCAAGCTTTTGAGCAGCAAAGAAATTGTTTTCCAGCAGGGTAATGTGTTTAACAGAATATTCATTTGTTCTGGTGATTTTTAAATTTTTTTTAAGTATTTTTGCAACTGGAGAGAGTCAGATCAGAAGAGCTGTTGGTCCTGTTTTTTTGGTTCTTTTTGTGTTGTTGTTTCTTTGAGGTTTTTTGTTGTTGTTTTAATTAAATAGCTTCGGGACACTTTTTTGAAAGCTCGTTAGTGTCTGCACTTCTGAGCCTTTTCCTGCTGTATTGCAAAACAAATGCAGCAAGAATAATTTCAGGTTTATTTTTTGCTTTGCTTTTTTCCCCAATAAAACTTCTATATGATCTTCTTTAGCTTATCCAAATCTACCAAGTAAATTCTATGAAGTTATTTGTAAATAATAAAAATTAGACCTGAGCTATACATACAGCAAACCAAAACAGTAACGTTTCGAGGTGACAGAATGTGCTTTACTTCTTCAGACTGCGGGGGGGGGGTGTCTTTTTGAATGTTCCTTTCCATAAACAATTTTTTGCTAGTAAACTAATGCAACAGAGAGTGAGAAAAACTGTAGGCTTTCTTTTTGATATAATAGATTTCTAAATACAGGGAGTTTTGATATGGGGAGCATTCAGAAATGGCACCTTCCACCTGTGGCATGCAGTAGTACAGTCCATTTGATTTCCTGAGGAATCTATCTACTATGTGCTGCCAGTAACATGATATAGATATAGATGCAGATAGGATCACAATACATCCAAAGTTAAGCACTTTTTAATATCCAGTGATTCTATGGAGACAGATATATGCTTAACTCTCACATAGTGCTAAATGTGCTCTCTTTTGCCTAGAATTACATTCAATAATTCAACAAAATGTAACCTTACAATTCACATTGTGTCCAACTCTTCTCTCATTCCCTTTCTTAAATGCCTCCAGGGAAAGCCAGGGGAACCAGGATTAGATGTAAGTACTGCATATAATACTTTTCATTGTGTCATCACTAGGTTAGCAAATGGTACAGGCATAATCCTCACAACAGTGTATAGGGTTGTTCACTGTCCTATATTACAGCTTGGCAACTGAGGCTGAAAGGTGTTCAAGGCCATGTCCCTTAGTACTAAGCAGCTTCTCAGTCCACAGGGCTATGCTGGAAATTAGTCATCCTTACTTTGAATAAATCAATAATGGAATTTTGATAAAAAGTAAAAAATTTTAAACTGGAGTTCTTAGAGAGCCCTTGTCATTGTCCTGTCTCAAGTTCCACCAAGTATCCTGGTTGCATGCCACCTAGTGGCATATTGTGGGATTTCAGCATATTCTTGCTATTAAGTTCAGCATAAAATACCCCATGCATTCTTCCTGATAATATTGTGTTAGTAATGACTGTGTGTTTCCTAAAAACCTGCTCCTGCTTTCCCCCCCCCCCGCCCGCCGCTGCCTTTGATTACCAGAACTGTTTGGAACTAAAACTTGTGGATCTTTTGCCCATGTTTGATGTTGCTTTTATAGGGCTTCCCAGGTCTAAGAGGAGAAAAAGGAGAAAAAAGTGAAAGAGGAGAGAAGGTCAGTATCGCTTCTAGTGAACTGAACTTTAAAATAAAACCCTGCCTTTAATTCATATATTCATTTTAAAATTGTGGACAGGGAAGCTGAAAGTTTGAATGTGCTACTCAAAACATGAAATAAAATAAAAATCTCTGTGATCATGTTGAAGTCAGATCATGGACAGCTTTAGAGTTGGAAAGCAGCTGGTTATGATACAAATCCTCTTTCTGGCTCAAGCCAAGGCCCATTAAAAGTTTAAGTTGCAGCTGTGTGCCCAGTTGTCTATGCATGCATGGGACCAATTTGTGCACTTACCAGAAAAGGGAGGAGGAGAAACTCCTCTGCATAACCACAGACAACATCATGTATGTGTGTATACATTTGTGCAGCCCCTCCCCACCTTTGATGGGGGGGGCATGTGCACGCACTTTCCTGGAAGTCATGGCTGACTTCTGGCGACCCCTACTGGGGACTTGGACGTTTTTCAGAGAGATAGCTTGATTAGCCTGCCTCTGTGTCCCGCCTCTGGTATTCCAAAGGTCGCCCTTCCAAGTACTTGCCAGAGTCAGCCCTGCTTAGCTTCCGAGATCTGGCAAGATCAGACTTGCCTGGGTACCTGTTGTATGTTTATAGGCCCAGATTACATGCTACATTGTCGGCATTAAAAGGAGTGTTTGTGCCCTCCCACAAAATATATGGAAAGCCAAGGGTTACCAGATGTCCTCTTTCTTTGGTGTCCATCTTCTTTGGGGTTCTTTATTTAAAAACCTGATGAAAAGGTCCTCTTTTTGGGTTAGAAGGTTAGGAATATTCCTAGTTAGTAGCAATTATCACAGCTTCAATAGTAGGGACATTTAAAATGATCACTTGTTTGAAGTAGTCAGTTGGGAAATATGTCCTCTTTTTTACTTTTCAAAGTATGGTAACCCTGGGAGAGCCTGTTCTGGTTTGTGAACCAGGGCCTCCTATGCAGTGTGAGGTGACAGACTGAGGAGTAGAATTTTGGACTGTATCTATGGATATATCACTTGCATTTGGGGGGGGGGGAGAAATATTTTGGCTGTTCGTGCTTTTTTAAAAAAAAAAACCTCTCTGCCTGTAGTAAACTATCATGTCAGGGAGAAAAGTTTAACACAATATGCTAATTCAATATTTGCAGGGAGCTTTTTTTGTGGGAACAATCAAAATAGGAACCCACCGGCATTCTGAAGTGGCAAACCTCTACTGCTGAAGGAACATGTAATATATATGGGGGGAGGGGGGAGAGAGAGCTTGCTGCCCTTTAGAAATGCTGAGAGCTATGTTTCTATATTGATACCTGTCTCCTAGCAGACCTGCAAACTGAATACTGCTGTTACAAGTCTTGCCCTTCCATGCTTGCTCTGATGCTCTTTCTATATATTACATGTGTCTTCAGCTCCATCCTACCACATCATTCTGTAGAATGAACAGATAGGCATGTGTGACACATAACTAGGCAACAAGGCTGCAGTGTTAATTACGTAGATCCATGGATATACTCAAATCTCTTCTGATTCATAGTCAGATTTAAGCATAGATGTAATCCTTCCTCATTCTGTTCACGCATGATATAATGGATAAGCAAGCCCTCCATGTCTATGGTGCATTCATTTTACTTAGGTAATACACTAGATCAGGGGTGGCTAAACTGTGGCTTGCGAGCCGCATATGGCTCTTTCACACATATTGTGTGGCTCCTGGCAGGGCGGCTGGGGAAGTGAAAGGGAGGCATGCCTCCCTGATCGGTCTTCCCTTACCCAGTCAGTGCTCCCTTCCCTGGGTAGGCTTGAGATTGGGGGGGGGGAGCAGTGAAAAAAAGCAACTTTAAATGCGTTCTTAAAGACACACACACACCCTTGCTGGCGGGCTTGGAGAAGGCATTTGTCTCTTTAAATCAATTCTCCAAGCCAGCTGGTGTGGGGGCAGGGGGGTCTTGGAAGATGCATTTAAAGTTAAAGTTGCTTTCTTTCTACCTCTTCCTCCCTCCCCCCATCTATTTGCTTTCTTTCCACTTTCTTTCTTTCTGCCTTTCTTTCTCTCTTTCTTTCTTCCCTTCTTCCCCAACTAAAGTTAAATATCATTATCAATATCTGTTTTTACCACTTTTGTTTTTATTTTTGGCAGTCTCATTTAATGTTCCAAATCCAAATCCCTTTATTGGCATAAAAGAAAAGCAAAATGCCACAAGGCAAGTTTACAGAGAATTTGAATTATAAAATCTGTCAAACATCAGATAGAAGAGCTAATATTTTGCTCCCTGATTATTATGGCAGCCAAAAGGTACCTTGCAACTGAACCTGTAATATGGGGACATTGGTCAGATAATAAGAAAGATACTAACTTCGCCTCAGAAAAACCGTGGCAGTTAGACACAATAGGTTTAATTGTACAATCCTGCACTTCCCCATAGAAATCACAATGAAATAAAACATGGGCTACTGTTTCAAGGTGCATTGCTTTGCATGGACAAAATCTTTCTTGATAGGGAATGTTGGTAAGCCTCCCAGACAGTACCGCTGAAGGTAAACATTAAGTCTAGCTAACATAAAAGAGCAGCGTAACTGGGGTGCGGTAATCTGGGAGAAGTAGGCAGTAGGTAGTCCATAGTCTGGGAAAATACCAAATGCCAAAGGGAAGCAAGTTTTGTGTTCAAGAGAGCAGAAAGTCTGTTTCTCAATATCTAAAATCCTCTGTTTCAAGATTCTGAATGCCTGCATTTCACTTAACATACAGTGGTTGTCCAAGGATCTTCTCTGGAATAAGTTGGATAATATGGGTTTAGATAAACGTTTACTTTTCCTTATCTGTAAAATGTATTTCCGTAATAGCTGTCAAGTGCAGTACAATGGCTTAGGTGGGCTAACTTCAAAAATTTCCTCTAATTGGGGAGTTAAACAGGATTGTATTTTAGCCCCCTACCTGTTTAACTTATTCCTGAATGATTTGGCCCCCTCTCTAAATGCTATCGATGGTCATTCCCCCAAACTTACTATGTTGCTTTATGCTGACGATGCTGTTATGTTATCATGTATGCAGAAGGGCCTCAAGTGCCTGTTGCTTGCCTTCTCTTCCTACTGTGAGGCAAATTCTCTGTCCATAAACTATGTAAAATCCAAAATTTTAGTATTCTCAAAGTCCTGGAAACCACAAAGCTGGCGGCTCAAAGGAAACAATATCGAACAAGTGAAATCTTTCACATTCTTGGGGGTCTTTTTTCAATATAACCAAAACTGGACAGAACAACGCAAGCAAGCAGGAATTTCGGCAAGGTGCAGTTCGTCTACGGTGGTTAGCTTTTTTTACAAGACGGGCGATCAATTTGTCCCTGCTGCCATTCGTGTTTTTAATGACAAAACAGTTTCTCAGTTATTATTCGGGATCCCCATCTGGGTTAGTGCCTTCAATACCCAGCTTGAGCAAATCCAGGCAACGTTTTTACGCCGTATTTTAGGGGTCCCTAATTGTGTTAGCTATGCTACAATGTGTTTAGAGACTGGGATGCATCTGTTGGAGACTAGGGCATGGCTATTAACCTTAAAGTTTTGGCTACGCCTACACTTCATGGCAAAACCTGCTGCCTACATTCATTTAATGATAATAAAAAGCAAATTTGCATATTTTCAATAAAAATGTGTGGGTTGTATTTATTCATGTCTTGTGGCGTTCAAATATCTGACGTTTAATCTATGTGGCTCTTACATTAAGCAAGTTTGGCCACCCCTGCACTAGATCAACATTAAATATGTGTGCCTTATATTAGCCTAATGTTTCTGTCTCAGAAGTTTGCAGGAGTAACAGTAATACGGTGCAAATTCACAGAATGAAATTTTGTAATTCTCACAATATAAAATGGCGACACAAGATGATGGTTGAATTTCAGGACATAACTGCTGTTTTCTCTTACTCAGATCTTTCGTAGCATCAGGGCTTTGTTTTTGTTTTGTATCAACAGGGTGAAAGAGGACTACCAGGCAGAAAAGGAGCAAAAGGGCAAAAAGGAGAACCGGGCCCTCCTGGATTGGATCAGCCTTGTCCAGTGGTATGGGTTTTATATTATTGTAGGGTGTTTAAGTCTGCTCCTTAAAAAATAGTTCTGCTGCTTTTGACAAGTGCCTTGGAGTGTTAAAAAACAGATTTCTGGAATCAGGCTATTGTGTACTGTTGACTGTCACAGTTAATGTTTAGGCTGTTTTTACTGGCCTTATGACACTGGAGAGTATCTCTGTTGAGATGCTCTTTCCATCATATTTAAGGATGGACACAGATGTGGGAAAGGCACCTGAGAGCAATCAAAGAGCAATCAAAGAAGAGAAGCAACAAAAACGGACATGGCCAATCACTCAGAATAACAACTGAAAAATGTAATACAGGGGGAGGGAGGCAGACTGGCCCTTTCATAGGATTCCCAAGTACTTACCGCGATCTGGCAGGGGACACATGCTCCCCGGCTGGAACATTCCTCCCTGTAACGCACCATGCCCTCAGCAGGCAGGGATGAGGATGATGCTCTGGCAATGGGGCTGAAAACTCGATGGTATCACTTCTTGGCGATGGCATGGTGCGGCGCATCTGTTTTCCCCGCAGGAATGATCCTGCGAAGACGTCTGTGTCCCCCGCCAAATCACAGTAAGTACTTGGGAAGCCTGCCCTTTGAACTAAACAGGCAAGTTCCCAGGGAGCCATTGGCAGCCAGGAACAAGCAGAGCCACACGGACTGTTCAGCAGTGTAGACCTGGGCCACAGCAACAATGGCAACAGATGCAAACTCAGCCCATCTCAAAATTCCAGCCCATTTCAATCCAGTACTAACAACTGAGTACAGGATAGATTCAGAAAGATGCTTCACTCTTCAGACTAATCTCTTAAATATGTGTTTGGCTTGGGGGCAAAAACTAGTTGATCAGCTATAGGGGGAACAAACATTAGGTAGGTGATTAGGAGGGATCTGTAAGGCAAGTGGCTCCATTATCCTATGCAATTATTTCAAACGTAAGAGCTAGCAAGTACTAGATTCTATTTTAAAAGAGCACTGATGCCCAACAAGTTTTATTTTAAAAAATATTTTTAATATTATTCTGCTGTATTTCTGTGGATTTGGTGACTCAAACGTATCACTTAAGTATTAGGATGGAATAAATTGCTGTTCAGGTAGGAATTGTTTCCTGATGCTTATTTTGAGCAGTTATCTTCATTTGGTAACATACAGTTCTAAAACTTCACCTGAAATCTCCCTTCTATATAAAAGCCGAATCGTGGTGGCACTTCTCTAGAACATTCCACATGCTCCGGAATTGGTTGGCGCCCTGGTGTGTCACTCAGAATCTGTCCCTATCCACTGGCTGCATTGCTTGAGTCTCGCCTCCAACATTCGAAACTGTTTGCTGTTCCTCTCCCCCCCATAGCCAGTCAGAACACAGAGGTTATTTGCATATACAGCCTCATTGGCCTTTGCCTCGGAACACAGAGGTCGTTTGCATATGCGACTTGATTGGCTTTTGCCTCTAACATTCTAAACAGTTTTGCTGTTCTGAGGTAAAATGTGTCCGATCTCCAGGTGAGGGCTGGAGATCACTCAGAATTACAACTGCTTTCCAGATGGCAGAGATCAGTTCCCCTGGAGAAAATGATGGGCTCTGTATCCTTATATGCTGCTGAGGTGGCCCCCGTATGACAGCCAATGTGACGCAGCAGTCAGGGCTTCAGAGCACGGGAGAGGCTGCAGGTGTGTGGGGGGTGGAAAGCTGAAGAGTGAGGGGGAAATAAAGGTAGGTTGATGATTGGCTGGGAAGGACAAAGCCATAGTCTCCACCCTCCAAGCCAACCATTCCCTTCTGGGGAACCATTGTTGCCAATCTCCAGGTGAGGGCTGGAGATCACTCAAAATTACAACTGTTCTTTAGGTAGCAGAGATCAGTTCCTCTGGAGAAAATGGTGGACTCAGTGTCATTATACCCTGCTGAGGTCGCCACAGCAAATTGACACTGAGTGTCCAAGGCTGGGGCACCCGCCCAGAGCCTCTTTCTAGAGGCCGTTGTATTTATTTCCACAACGGGCCTTTTTCCTAGAGAGTTTAGCTTCTGTTCAGACAAAGGTAGGGCACATATTTTTCCTTTCATCAGCTACTTCTCTGCTGCTTGGTACACATGAACTAAGAAAGCACAAGAAACCCTTTTAATTTGGTCAACTGCTGGATTAAAAGTATTTTCGTCAAATGCATTATAATTGCTGAGCCAGTTTGGTGTGGAGAGCCAGTTTGGTGTAGTGGTTAAGTGTGCGGACTCTAATCTGGGAGAACCGGGTTTGATTCCCCACTCCTCCACTTGCACCTGCTGATGTGACCTTGGGTCAGTCACAAGCTCTGGCACAGCTGTCCTTGAAAAAGAGCAGTTTGTGTCAGAGTTCTCTCAGCCCCACCCACCTCACAGGGTGTCTGTTGTGGGGAGGGGAAGGGAAAGGCATTTGTAAGCCGCTCAAGGCCCGAGTGAAGGGCGGGGTATAAATCCAATCTCCTCCTCCTCCT